GTGGTGTCCCACCTAAGCCTCGCACTCGCGACCTTTACGATCAGAGTCTAACGCCCTAACCATTGAGCCACGAGCTCGTTTCCTCGCCGGATTGGGCCAGGAGATATTGAGTTATAAGAACCTTTCCTTCGGACCAATTAACAGGAAGTAATCACTTATCCGATCAGCCTTGTTTGCCCTTGTGGTTTTGTGTGTCTTGCTATTGGATTTTCACTCATTTTTTATCTGCCTGAAACTGCGAGCATAAAGTGCCAACATAAAGCAAATTAAAGTATTGCCTCTGGTCTCCACCATTAGCAAGAAGGCAATCCCGAGGGCCATGAGGAGAGCATAGTAAGCGAGAGCATTAAGACTATGAAACTTCTCGAACAAACTTACCAAGAACTGAAAGCAGTCACTGGGATCGCGGACTTGGAGGACATGGTTAATCGGTTTGCTGAACTGGAAGACTCCAGCTTTCGACTGTCTATTCTTCGCGACTTGGCCGACATGAGAATAACCTCCCTCAAGGAACAGAATAAAAAGTTAACTGTGGCCTTCAATGATCTCCGCATTATGGCCGATTCTCGCCTCAAAGAGTAAGTTCCCTTTGGATTGGCATCTGTAAATCCATCAAACACATAGCTGTGAGCTTCATTCGAGTTTTCTGAAGTATTAAAGAATCTGGGGCCTCGATAAATTCATAGGAATTCATGTTGACCCCCAAACGCTCACATTTTTGTTTGTAACCTTTTTTTACGATGGTCAGACATAAAGGTGCGCATGTTTAGGTTATAATTGCGAAAATAATGTCAACAAAAGTAGATTTCAGTCGCTATTGATCTGGATAAGCGCTTCACCGTTCATTGTACTAGCTATTTTGAGGGTGGCAAGGAAAACAGTTAGTCCTTGGGAGCGAAGCTCTTGCCGAGACAAAAATTCCAAAATGACTACTTTTGCGCGCTCTAAACGGGTTACCAAAGACATGAAAGTAAAGGAAGTGACAGAGTCTGGCCCTTCTCTGCTCTGTGCTTATAAATTGCTGAGTCCTTGCGTGAAGCCTTCCAGAGTGAGGTATTAATTACGGACTCATTGCACTCGTCCACTTTTAGAACTGGTACTGGGGAGTGTAACTTGTGAATCAAAGTCTTGTGGGAGCCTCTTTGTTAAAAAAAAGTGTTTGACAGCGAATGTTTTTCCGTCCTCGTCCGATATACTGAGCAACTAAGAAATCGATCTGGACTTGGGTCTCAGCGTAGAAGAACTAAGTATGTAGTCGGATGAAGGCGCAGCCACTCTGGTTAGGCATGACTTATATGATCACCTAAAGGGAACATGGGAATAGGAAACGTCCGGAATGCATGTGTTCCCGTTCACGTGTCCTGTTAAGGGGGGCAAATAAGTAATTCATACCTAATCCGGACCTCAGATTATCGAAATCCGTAGTTGCCGGAACCGAGGGTTAAAAGTTGCATGTAGGAGATCCTGCGGCGGTCCTTGGTCAACGCAGTGGTATCGCGGAAGAGTTAAGGCTAAGCCGGTTAAAGCCTAACTACTGCGATCTTCCAGGCCCGG